ATCGCAGTCCACGAACATTTAACCTATCATATACCTATATTACTGAAAACGAGGATCGTGTTATCCAGTCAGATGGCAGCCTTCCAAGTCATGACTGCCAGCACATCGAGATACTTTAAAAGCGCGTCAGGAGAAGTACGCTGAAATGTGGTGGAGATGGATTCCCCCCAGTTTCCGTTTCCTCTCCCATACACCACTTGATTCTTTGAACCTGCCAGTCATCTGGTGAGGTATTGGTTGGTATGTAGAAGCATGCTTCATGCGAGCTGGACCTCTTCTAACACTATTTATTTCCTTGATTGCATTACAAACATAAATCAACTCCGAAAACGTTAACACCTAATCCTCTGAAGTAGCGCGTGTTTCAGTCTTTTAAAGACACTTAAGACAACCAACGAGTTGCCCAAAGTGAATAAATAAAGGAAGAAGTATCTGTTTGACAATGATTGAGAGCGTGTGGGAGCCAATGAGGTGTGCTAATAGGAATGGTAAATGAAAAGCGTTTGTTTTTCAATGGCGATCCCCTTGCAGTACTTCTCGATCCTTCGTTGTCGGTACTTATGCAGAGGATTGGTAGGAATTTCGACTGAGTACACATAGCAACACACTGCACACATATCTCTTCCTGTGGTCGTACCAAATAAGCGCACACCGGTCTCATCTATGAACAAATGGACCAGGGTGCCTGCTTCTGATCTTCATGGCCAGAAATCCCTTTCTGTCGGTTCAAATAGAACGATTAAACTCGAAGTGAGTGTTTGAATCCCCACACAAAATCCCACCACAATAATCCGTCCTTTTTTAATAAATATAATATCAGATAATAGACAGTTTCCTGTTGCTTAAAGAGACTAGGACAGGTTCCGTAAAGTGAGGCATCAAAAGAAGCCTATCCTTGTACATGAGTGTTTTTTTTCGAGTTAATATTTTATATTCAACACTTTTGCCGATGTTTCGACCTATGGCACTGATATGTTCTATGGACTAAAGGACTAAATTCCTGTCTGCACTGTGCCATGTGCCGCATAGCCTTCAAGATCCATGCATTTGGATAGTTGTTCCGACTGTGATGGCCATAATATGCTAAGTGCATTGAATGGCGGGCAAAAAAAGTATGACTGTCAGTAGGATAGTCGGAGGTTCATGTGAAGCCTGACTCGCTCTTGGAAAGAAAACCAGCCATACCTAGCCAGACGCGGCTAACGGCTCCATCTGGCAGATTGACTGCTGCGCTCAAGCCTAGTCCTTCGACTGGAAAGATAAAACTTGCTCGGCATTGTTCTAAACCAAATCATTTGTCCAGCGCAAAACCCTACTTCCCCTCCCCTAGGGACATGCAGATGAGGAAAATCCCACCAATTGTTTGTGAGATGGCATTGTTATTTCAGCGAATGATACGCAAGCGCTTGTTTCGCGGTCATCAATGATCCTCAGCGCCGCTCAACTGTCGCTGATACTTTTATTGGTATTGTCATTTAATTTACATTACACGATGCCTAATGATTTATGCAATCAATACTAGAAGAAGTGAACATACGAGTTTCAGGAAGCGGTTCAGAAGAAAATGAAGATACTATCGCTGGAAAATTATGTTCATTGGCCTGAGTTTCGATTACCGCTCGAACTCATCATCAGAAACAGTCGCAGATAAGGACGTTGACGGCGA